GTATGGTAGCCAGCCAGGCCAACCCACGCCACATATTATTCTATGATATTTAAGCATCCCAGAGCGATAAAATGAATATACAGTTTGCTCATTACTTACCTTAAAATATTTGTAGTCTTAATGTAGGGTCAGGGGTGAGTAAACGAGATAAAACGAATAAATAAGAGAGAGAGAGAAAGAGAGAATGAGCACATGAGGGAGGACAGGCGCAGAGTTATGTAAACAAACCAGGCGAACGCAAGTTTTGTAAACAAGCCAGGCATACACGTATGGCTTGTGTACAAGTTACATTATGCACAAGTTGTTTCTACATTGATACGGTAGAATAAATAAAGAGGAACACTCCCATTATCATGTAACACCATTTTTAGAAGATATGACGCTCTGAGTGAAGGCAATGGAAGCAAGTCACGCTGACTTTTTTGGGTTATCCTAGGTACTTTACACATATGCTGCTATGTATGATAGTCTATGTAAATATATTTGTGTATACCTCAATAAACTTACATATGAAGGGAATAATTTTCTGCAGTTACCCCCAGTAACACATTTTCTCTTATGTTGGACTAGAGAAAATGTTATTCTACTGTGGGGTGTATTTATCATCTTTATATGTTATGTATCATGTTTATTATATAATTTTGAAGAAATATCATAGATGGATTAACGAAAATATGTATATTAACGTAATACACGACATTCAATGAGACTCGGTGATTATTATTATTATTATTAATATGGTGTCTCAAGACATAAGACACACTTACTGATTTTAATGTGTACCTGCATGCCAGCACAGTAATTATACATAAGTATAATTATCAGAGTAGTATACATAAATTATGAAATAACTTAAAAACACTTGAAATTTTGGGGGTTTCTAGACATAATGGACAGACTTAGTGCTTAAGGATGTCACGGAGAATGTCAACAAACCGGGTGGGGCACGGTGACTGTATTAGAAAGTCAAGTGGGGCAAGCCGTATAGAGAGAGTTTTGGTCATAATTTGAAATGACCTCATTAGCAGAACGCTCTAAAGCAAAACACCGTAAAGTGGGGCCCTACTGTAATTTTTAACACTGCATTACAAATGTCAAAATTAAAACTATAAATCCATAAGGCTATTATGAGATATGAATAACAATTAGCAAACCTTTAAAAGTATAAAGAGCAATCTTTTGTTCCATTACCATTTATCAATAAAATCTAAAAATTTACTGACATTACTTTTGCCATCCTTGATTTTAATTATGTTACATGTATCATGTGATACAGAATATTTCCATCATGTGACAAAATACACTTTTAATTCCAGTTAATACTAAGTTTAATTTTGGATAGTAGGCTGGTAGACAGCAACTACCCAGGGAGGTACTACCATCCTGCCAAAAATGTGGAAAGGAAATCAGTAATTGTTTTACACAATGGTAGGATTCCTGGCATTTTTCCTTCCTGTCTCAAACATGCAAGATAACAGGTACATCTTGCTACTTATACTTAGGTCACACTACATAAGCATGTACACACATGTATACACACACGTTTGGGTTTTCTTCTGTTTTCTTAATATGAAGCTCTTGTTCTTATTTCCTTTCATCTCCATGGGGAAGTGGGAAAAAAAAATCCTTCCTCAGTAAGCCATGCATGTCATAAGAGGCCACTAAAATGCCAGGAGGAAAGGGCTAGTAACCCCTTCTCCTGTATAAATTACTTAATGTAAAATGAAAAAACTTTATATTTCTTCTTTTATCGGGTTACCCTGCCTTGATGGGAGGCAGTAGTTGTGTTAAAAAAGAAAGTTGTGTAAACAATCAATCTGCAGAAGCTTAAAATCATAAGTCATTTATGAGCATTTAGTCATGAAGTTTAAGCCTGCCATTTCTATATATTTGATTATTTATTTTTTTTTATTAACACATCGGCCATTTCCCACCAAGGCTGGGTGGCCCGAAAAAGAAAAACTTTCATTATCATTCACTCCATCACTATCTTCCAGAGGCACACTTACACTACAGTTTTAAAATTGATAAATATTAGAAATTAAATGGAAGAAAGCACCTTCATGAATATTAAAATTTAGTTACTCTAATTACATTATTTTCATATAGTCGGACTTGAGTCCTGGAAATGGGAAGTACAATGCCTGCACTTTAAAGGAGGGGTTTGGGCTATTGGCAGTTTGGAGGGATATGTTGTGTATCTTTATATGTATATGCTTCTAAACTGTTGTATTCTGAGCACCTCTGCAAAAATAGTGATAATTTGTGAGTGTGGTGAAAGTGTTGAATGATGATGAAAGTATTTTCTTTTTGGGGATTTTCTTTCTTTTTTGGGTCACCCTGCCTCGGTGGGAGACGGCCGACTTGTTGAAAAAAAAAATTACATTTTTTCCATAAAAAAGCAAGTTAATAATTAGGGCATTATATTAATTCAGAATTTATATCACTGACACCAGCATTACTTCATCCAGTCTGGTGGCGCGATATCAGATGGTCTCAGCTGACGTTCTCCTTCATTCATAAAGATGTTTAGTGTTCTATAAAGCAGATGAGTTCCTAGCTGGCGCCTCTCAGCCCAGGACCATGTGCTTGGCAAACCATAAAATGTTCCCTGGATACTGTTGCATAGATTTTCCAGCCCTGTAACAGTACCATATTATTAAATCATCAACCTTTCAAATGTTGAAGTAAAAAACATTAAATCAGTAATTTTAACATACTACAAGGAGTAAGGAAGGGCAAGTGAGAGATGCGAGTCAATGTATTTTCCTGGAAAGCACTGAACATCAATGGTCATTCATCATTACATAGCAGGGGCGAGATGGCAGAGAAAAAAAATGAAGTGCTGATGAGAAGATATCTACAGAAAGCAGAGGGGAAAAAAAGGGAAGGAAAGGCCACATTTGATGAAGCAGATCAGTATCAGTCAAGAAATCAGAGAACATCTGCATTTGTAACTGTAAACCTACTTCAAAAAGCAGAGACAAATGAGAAGGAAAAGCAGGTAAGGTAAGGTGGTTGTTATATTAATCTGCTATGCATATCTCAGTTAAATGAATATTATCATAAGGCCTAAACTCAATGGGTCATACAGTGCTGCAATTAAATGAATAAAAAGACTTATTTTATGAAGAAATATTGCTCATGTAATTTAGTGTTAAATCATTTAACTTTGATTTTAATAAAAAAGTGATTATCAATACAGGTGGGCTACACTTCATGGTGATTCACTAATACAGATACTTCAAATTGTACCCAAAAATTAGTTCATGTGACTCCTGATTTGTTATTATGGCATCTGCGTGCTACCTGTTCAGTTTGTTTACATCCTCCATGAGCTCCAAGTCTCTCCCGATTGTGTCTGGAAACTTTCCAAAGTTTCAAGTGTATTAAAGTTATTGCATACTCTTTTTGTGTTACAATGACATCTAAGGGAAGTTGTGATAAAAAAAAAAAAAAAGTCATAAGGCACTCAGTAAATGCAAGTTTGAAATTATTCAACTCAGTGAGCAAGGTATGTCAATGGCTGAGATAGTACCGAGATATTACAGATCCACATCCCTTTATCCAAAATTCTGAAATTTGAAAAGTTCCGAAAACCGATTTTTTTTTCGTGGAGTGTAGAGCATCAGTCATCTCGGTGCTGGGTCGCACCGCCATGTGGCGGCATTGAGAATCATTCTGAAATTCGAAAAAGTCTGAAATTTGAAACAATACTGGGCCCAAGGGTTTTGGATAAAGGGATGTGGACCTGTACTGATAATTTTACTTATGTGTGTCTGTACCTAAATAAACTTACTGTGCTGATGTGCAGGTACATTAAAATCACTATCTGACATTGTTACAAAGTAGAAGTTGCTATTCCAGGAGAGGGAGTAACTAAGAGCATCTCATTAGTGTTGATGCATTAAGTACATTAATAATAATAATAATAATAATAATAATAATAATAATAATAATAATAATAATAGCTCTGAGGAACTGTAAATGTCGTACATTATGTTATATACATTTTCATTAATCCATCCATGACATTTTTTCAAAATTATATAAACAAAATACAGTGGACCCTCAGTTATCGGCCATTCTGCTTATCGGTCAACTTGGTTATCAGCTGGTTTTTTAGCTTCCGGTTATCGGCCATACTGGACACGTCCATTGCCAGCCACTCGTGTGTTCCTGAGTCAGTGTGGCTGTCTCTCTGGGCGAGTGAGGAAACTTCTGCTCATTCATCCAAACATTTGGCTATAATCCATTGTTTTTGGTGGTTATAGATTAAGTGCAACTGCAAAATAAGTAACCATGGCCCCAAAGAAAGTTTCCAGTAAAGTTCCTTTGGTAAAGAAAGTAAGAAACACGATAGAATTCAAGGCAGGCAGGCATAGAGGCAAGGAGTGTAGCATGCATGCAGGGAGTGCAGCAGACATGCTGGGAGAGTAGCAGGAAGGCAGGGAGTGTAGCAGGCAGGGAGTGTAACGGAGGTAGGGAGTGTAGCAGGCAGGCATAGAGGCAGGGAGTGTAGCAGGCATGGAGTGTAGCAATAAGGCAGGGAGTGTAGCAATAAGGCAGGGAGTGTAGCAATAAGGCAGGGAGTGTAACAATAAGGCATGGAGTGTAGCAATAGGGCATGGAGTGTAGCAATAAGTCAGGGAGTGTAGCAATAAAGCAGGGAGTGTAACAGGAAGGCAGGAAGTGTAGCAGAAAGGCAGTGTGTGTAGCAGGGATGCTGCATTCGTGAGTCAATCTGGCTGGCTGTGTCTCTGGGTGAGTGAGCAAGACTCTGCACATTCATCCAAAGATTTCATTATTCTGCACATTCATCCAAAGATTTCATTATACACTGTAATCCATTGTTTTTTGTGGTTGTTTATTCAGTGCAACTGCGAAATAATCCACCATGGGCCCAAAGAAACATGTTACATAGTATATAAAAACATGCAATGTTTATATGCAATGTATGTTTATTAATAATCACTCTTGGGCACATTAAAAGTCTTCATTTTTTATTATCACACTGGCCAATTCCCACCAAGGCAGGGTGGCCTGAAAAAGAAAAACTTTCACCATCATTCACTCCATCACTGTCTTGCCAGAACGGTGCTTTACACTACGGTTTTTAAACTGCAACATTAACACCCCTCCTTCAGAGTGCAGGCACTGTACTTCCCATCTCCAGGACTCAAGTCCGGCCTGCCGGTTTCCCTGAACCCCTTCATAAATGTTACTTTGCTCATACTCCAACAGCACGTCAAGTATTAAAAACCATTTGTCTCCATTCACTCCTATCAAACACGCTCACGCATGCCTGCTGGAAGTCCAAGCCCCTCGCACACAAACCTCCTTTACCCCCTCCCTCCAACCTTTCCTAGGCCGACCCCTACCCCGCCTTCCTTCCACTACAGACTGATACACTCTTGAAGTCACTCTGTTTCGCTCCATTCTCTCTACATGTCCGAACACCTCAACAACCCTTCCTCAGCCCTCTGGACAACAGTTTTGGTAATCCCGCACCTCCTCCTAACTTCCAGACTACGAATTCTCTGCATTATATTCACACCACACATTGCCCTCAGACATGACATCTCCACTGCCTCCAGCCTTCATCCTCGCTGCAACATTCATCACCCATGCTTCACAACCCATATAAGAGTGTTGGTAAAACTATACTCTCATACATTCCCCTCTTTGCCTCCAAGGACAAAGTTCTTTGTTCCACAGACTCCTAAGTGCACCACTCACCCTTTTCCCCTCATCAATTCTATGATTCACCTCATCTTTCATAGACCCATCCGCTGACACGTCCACTCCCAAATATCTGAATACATTCACCTCCTCCATACTCTCCCTCCAATCTGATATCCAATCTTTCATCACCTAATCTTTTTATCCTCATTACCTTACTCTTTCCTGTATTCACTATAATTTTCTCTTTTACACACCCTACCAAATTCATCCACCAATCTCTGCAGCTTCTCTTCAGAATCTCCCAAGAGCACAGTGTCATCAGCAAAGAGCAACTGTGACAACTCCCACTTTATGTGTGATTCTTTATCTTTTAACTCCACGCCTCTTGCCAAGACCTTCGCATTTACTTCTCTTACAACCCCATCTATAAATATATTAAACAACCACGGTGACATCACACATCCTTGTCTAAGGCCTACTTTTACTGGGAAATAATTTCCCTCTTTCCTACATACTCTAACTTGAGCCTCACTATCCTCGTAAAAACTCTTCACTGCTTTCAGTAACCTACCTCCCACACCATACACCTGCAACCTCTGCCACATTGCCCCCCTATCCACCCAGTCATACACCTTTTCCAAATCCATAAATGCCACAAAGACCTCTTTAGCCTTATCTAAATACTGTTCACTTATATGTTTCACTGTAAACACCTGGTCCACACACCCCCTACCTTTCCTAAAGCCTCCTTGTTCATCTGCTATCCTATTCTCTGTCTTACTCTTAATTCTTTCAATAATAACTCTACCATACACTTTACCAGGTATACTCAACAGACTTATCCCCCTATAATTTTTGCACTCTCTTTTGTCCCCTTTGCCTTTATACAAAGGAACTATGCATGCTCTCTGCCAATCCCTAGGTACCTTACCCTCTTCCATAACATTTATTAAATAATTGCACCAACCACTCCCCAAAAATATATCCCCACCTGCTTTTAACATTTCTATCTTTATCCCATCAATCCCGGCTGCCTTACCCCCTTTCATTTTACCTACTGCCTCACGAACTTCCCCCACACTCACAACTGGCAATTCCTCACTCCTACAAGATGTTATTTCTCCTTGCCCTATACACGAAATCACAGCTTCCCTATCTTCATCAACATTTAACAATTCCTCAAAATATTCCCTCCAACTTCCCAATACCTCTAACTCTCCATTTAACCCTTTGAGGGTCGACAGGCCCTCTCCGAAACTCGTTCTCAGGGTCGGCCAAATTTAAAAAAAAAAAAAATTATTTTCTCTTATGAAAAGATAGAGAATCTTTTCCCGATCATAAAGACACCAAAAGTTTGAAATTTGATAGAAAACTTACGGAATTATGCTCTCGCAAAGTTAGCGGTCTCGGCAATGTTTACGCATCGGCAATTTTGCCCACTTTGAGCCCCATTTTCGGCCAGTTTCACTGTACTAGTCGACAAAAAACATGAATGTTTCTCTAGAACTCCATTTTTGCTATCGAATGGGTGCAAGAAACCACCCATTTATGAAATTCAACTATCCAGTACAGTGGTCAGAATTTAGCAATTTTGCCAATTTCACACAAATTTCAAAAGATGCCAATTTCCGAATAGGGTCCAGAATAAACAAGAAAGACATTCCTGGCACTAAAATGACATTTCCTCTAGTCATTAGTCACGTCTCAAGGCCCCTCTTATATTTTTTTGCTTTCCACTTTGAATTTTTATTCTCACAAAAAATATAAGATTTACTGTTATGCAGACTACTGCATTAGTGTAAAAAATGGTATAAATATTATTAGTGCACTTGTGAAAGAATATTAGACTCACCAGTTGACGTGTATTGCACGCTTGGCACGATTTGTTTACTTTTGAAGTTTGGTAAAAATCGAAACATTTCTGCTACTTTGAGCTCAATTTTCAAGGCACCTTT